TCACTCCAAATCCTAAATTGATTGGGTGTTACTGAAGCCCCAGTGACATTCCAGGCATTACTAGTTCTGAAGCACAACAGGGTATGGCTTCCCTTCTTAACCGAGATGTGGCTGGAATGCTGTGACCGGTTAACTCAGGTGACTAGAGCATGACGCCAAGAAAATCAGGAGGCTGATTGTCATGGTATGTGGCCCAGATCGTTTAGTTTGATTTCATAACCACGAGGTGGACACCTCCCCCTCAACTCGCACCTCACAAAATACAAATGGGGTTGAGTACCTGCTGAATTGGAGCTGTCTCCTGATGTAGGAAAGACAACACAGGAATTGGGCAAGGCCCCTTTCAATATGTGAGATTTTCTCTCTGCACAATTAGTTGCATTAGTCATTTTAGAGGTTGTAACAAACTTACTCCAGATGGTATAGCTGCTACTCATATTGACAGAAGCAAGGGATTTCTTTTTCTGTACAAGCCCATGGATTGCTTCTTGGTGTTTTGCTGTGTTTCATAGAAATTTAGAGTGTGCATGCAGGGTTACAATATCCCTCAGAACACTTGTCTATTTTTTTTTTATTATTAGTTCCGTCACTTTCTTGCTCTGTGATTGAACTTCTCTGGATGCTAATTTTATTCATCTAAGAAATGAAGGAAATAATTGTAACCCACATAGCAGGCTTCCTGGGAGAATCAAATGCATTAAAAAAAAACCATACTTATGTCTTAGTCCATGTGGGCTGCTATAACAAAATATCATAAGCTGGGTGCCCTATAAACAACAGAAATATATTTCATGGTTCTAGAGGCTGGAAAGTCCAAGATCAAGGCACCAACAGAATCAGTGTCTGGGAAGGGCATATTTACTGCATCCTCACATAGTAGAATAGGAAAAGCAGCTCGTAGGGTCCCTTTCATAAGGTTACTAATCCCATTACCACGACATTCAGCCTCCTGATTTTCTTGGCGTCGTGCTCTAGTCACCTGAGTTAAACGGTCACAGCATTCCAGCCACATCTCAGTTAAGAAGGGAAGCCATACCCTGTTGTGCTTCAGAACTAGTAATGCCTGGAATGTCACTGTGGCTTCAGTAACACCCAATCCATCACCAGGGATTAGGTTTCAATATGCGAATTGGAGTGGGGCACGTTTAAACCATATCAGTATATATGGAACATTAAGTATGGCACTGGGCGTGTGGCAGGGGCCCAGTAAACCGTAGTGGTAACTATCAGATAACTGTTAGTTTAGGCAACGTGTCATGAAATGGCATGTATTTTGAAACTGAGAGCTACTTCATAAAAATATTAATTTCTGCATAATTTATACTGGCAGATCTGTAGCAGTTCAGAATTAACACCTGGTGTTTAGTGGACAAAAAAATAGGTTTTGCTGTCACTGTGGATATCAAGAATGGAAAAATGTGGGAAAACATTTAAAAATTAAGTGTCTTGTCTGATTTCATCTGCTGGCACGAAACTGGACCTTAGGCTAGTTATCTGTGAAAAAAAATCTTCATCAAAATCTTTTTGAAATTTAATTCTTGCTTTTCTGTTGCTTATGTAGAGCAAATGTTTTCATTGTTAAACTTGAACCTTTCCTCATCTGACTGCAGGAGTGGTGTCTTGAAACCATCTATCAGTAATCTAAGAAGCAGTCCTCTTTTTCTTACCTGCATTACAGTAGTGGTAAAATGAATGGGATGTGGGGATCCTGCTGTTCATCTGACCTTCACAGATCCAACTGGAATGAACTCACTTATTTCTGGACCAAAATAGGCATAAATAAAGTTCAGCTAATCTGGGACTCAGTCACATACCAGAGTAAGGCTTGCAGAGGGTCCTAGAAGATAAATATCATCGTGACTTTGTTATGGTTTGACTTTGATTTGGAAAATTTTCTTTTGAAAGGGACTTTGGAAAATTATATATAGCATAAATATGCAAATTTACTTGACTTTTTTTTTTGGTTTTGGTTTTTCTCCGGTACGGGGAACCGAACTCACGACCTTGTGCTTGCCAGGCAGGCGCTTTTGCCGCTGAGCTAAATCCCCAGCCCCTTACTTGACTTTTTAATAGGGTGCAGAGCTTTGTTGACAGAAAGAGGAATTGGTTTTCCATTTTGTATGTATAAATGAGTGGCATTAGTCCTGTGCAAGTGACCTGTACTGTAATCTAGTTTGCCTTGTTTTTCTCACAGCTCTCCGTGTTGGGGATCTTTCTCTTGCTTTCCAGTTAGGTGCCAGAGCCACTCATCTTTCTGCACCTCATCATCTTTGCACTTGGCCTCACAGTTCTCATTCCCACTAAAGTAAAATGAGTGGTAATGGTTGAAACTGTTGTTCTTCCTCTGAGGACTATTTTCATTTTGTGGGAGACCAGCCTCAGTTTCATGGAAGGAAGGGCTGGGGAAGAATTTGAAGTATCAGTTTGTGGCTAGAAAGGTGGTAGGATAGCTGAAGTTGTTAGTTATAGCTGATCTGCCAGCACTCTGAAATCATAGCCCTCAGCACTGCCTTCTCTACTAGTCCTTAGAGGTCTCTTGCAGCCCTTTCCTGAATAGTTCTGAGTGCTACAGAATAGCCTTGCAGTGAGAATAGTAGTGTCTGTGGATACACTTGAGTATATTGGAGTTTTTCCAAAGGGGAACTGTATATAGTCCAGGCAACCTTTCTCAAGCAGGTGCAATAACTCTTGATGGATATTTCATGTTCTGATCACTTTTTATTTATTCTTTAATTCAGCCGAGTACTGGTTCAAGTGATTAATTCCAGCGTTAGTATGTAGGTAGACAGTTAACCTGGAAAAGGGATAATTAAAAGCGAGAGGCTTCTTATCATAGTTTTTGCTCTCAAGCCTTATTCTGCTAATATTTGCTCGTGAGAATTTATTTTAGACTCCACTGTCCTCCTCCACATTCACTTAATGCACATAGCCATCATACACACATATTTACATTTCCATTGGGAATCATGGACTAAAAACTAGTGAACCTTTTTGCTGACTATTTGGGCATAGATGTCATTAACACTTTCCCACTTGGCCAGTTCTCAGGGGGGTTTAAGAAGTCTGGAATCCTCTGGGATTCTGGATTCTCTCCTGAATTTACTGGATCTTGTTAACCTAGGATATGGCAAATTAAAATAGAACTCTTACCTGTTCTGGGAAAACTTTGCATTTTTTTATTGAAGCATTCAGAAATATATTTGGATCATAGTGTCATTCAACTATTTAGTAATATTAATATTACCCCTTTTACTAAAAGTATATTTGTGTCTCATTTTTCTATTTATGTATATAGCAGTGCTAGGGATCAAATCTAGGGCCTTCAACATGCTGTGCCACTGAGCTATACTCCTAGCCCCTTGTCTCATTTTCAGATACAACTGGATTCTTCAGTCATTTTAGCTTGGAATGCAAACCATTCATGGACTAGATGCCTAGGGGCTTGTGAGTCCTAGAACAGGTATACTTGTATGGGTCAATGTTTGCATGTGTCTGTATTGAGCTGCAAACCTGGAAGAAATGGATATTATATTTTTTCATTCTAGAGACAAATTTTGAGTCTTTGAGAATAAGTACAAAAAGGGTCTGGGGATGTAGCTCAGTGCTAGTGTTTGCTTAGCATGTGCGAGGCCCTGGGTCCAATCCCCAGCTCGGCAAAAACAAAATTTAAAAAAATCCTCTTACTTTAAGTACAAAGGGAAAATAAAAATTTGTCTTGATGTGGTTCCCAGAAAATATGCAGATTGAAAGTGGAACAAATGGCTCTACCTAATGGGAAGACAGACCCTTCCTTCCAATCAGTATTAATCATGTCCTAATTGCAAAGGTACATTTTACTCCTACTACCACACTTGGAGAAAAATGATGCAATCTGTTTTCTTCAAGAGGGTTCTAAAAATCTTGGGATGAAATGTTTTCAGAAGGAGCATTTTCACCCAGAAGGTGGGCATCTGGTTCTCCATAGGCAGGTTAGGTTACTGGTACTGTTGACTAGCAAATTAATAAATTGTTCCTGTACTTGAGAATACTTCTGGTTTCAAACATACATGTTCGAGACTGCAAGAAGTCTCGTTACATTTCAATATAATGCTTACATTTTAAAATTAACAGTCTTACTTTAAACAATTACCATATATTAATAATTACATTAGCAATTTTATATTAAAACACCAACAGCTGATCAGTATCTTCACTAGGGACAGTAGCATATGAGAATGGTGCTTGAGGTTTTCAAATTAAAATTTTTATATTTAAAGTTTTGTCGCTGCGAGATGAGTAGTAGCAGGAAGGCCAGAGGGCGTATCTGGAGAAGCCACCTAAGGCAAGGAAGAACCAGCAGGCTCAGGCCAGCAAGGGTTCACATGCTCTGAGTTCAAAGGTGAGCCGAGAAGGGTAAGGCCAAACAGCAAAAACCAGGAACTGAGGCTGAGGGCAAAAGGCAGACTGGGGCAGAAACCGCGGCAACCAACGAGGAGTTGGGGCTGCAGGCAGTTGGGGTCCAGTGGACGGCAGCAGGGAAGAGGACAGCAGATGGAAAGGCACTTGCGACAGCGCTTCTAGTAAGTACAGAAAATAAACAGTGAAGGTGAAAGCATGTCAGAAAGGCCCGCCTCGGTCTCGTGGACCGTAGGCGACTTTCTGTAGGTGGTGGGCCTCAATTGTAACCATGCGTGTGAGCTTCCTGTGACTGGCCTGTGAGTATTGATGTATTCAGATTAAAGAGTGGGTCTGAGCGTGCACCATGCATTTCCTGGTGGGCGCTGCCCTCTCAGCTTGACTCTCATTTCCCATTACTGCTTCGCTCTGACTCACTGATGGCCCGCCACATGTCATTAGGCGCTCGGCAGCTGCTTTCATTTCTCCCAAAGGTATACAGAGATTTGTGTCTTGGCTCTTACAGTTTTTTCTCCTGAGAGCTGGAGGAAGTGGCCTTCTCACAGTTTTGTTTGTTGAGTTGAATAGTTACAGTGTCTTACAGTTTCAATTTTCCTTTTCCACAGGTCTTTGATCCCGATGATCTTTACTCAGGGGTCAATTTCTCCAAAGTTCTCACTACTCTTTTAGCTGTCAACAAAGCAACAGAAGGTAAGCAGGGTTTGGGAATTATGAGTTCTGGGTGACATTTTTGAATCCATGAATTTCTGATTACCCTAGAAGCCAGCGATGGCCAGGGCTATTCAACTGGTGCAAATTTCACTCCTCCCTCCAAATAAACTCTAATGCGTGTCAGACACTTTCATCTTTCATGACTTAAGCATACCCATCACAGGATTTAAACATACCCATCACAGAGTTGTTCTAATGCCTTGAATATAAAAATAAGAACCAGAAAACTATTTTGTTCCAAACTCTTGAATAGCCAGCTAAATATAGCAAGACAGAAAATTAAAAGAAAAAAACTAGTTCCTTCTTTTTTATCCAGTTTACAAAATAAAACCATCACTTCCCTTTCCCCAGCAGAGACCTATTTTTCTCATTGTTTTTCGGATATCTTTGTCTCTATGAAGGAGCCCCTCAGGAGAGTTGCACTCACTATGAAACCTCTCGTTCATAGTGAGTGAAAAAAGAGTATGTTTTACTTAAATGTGTAACACCCACCACAGTGGATGTTATTAAATATAGATCCCAGTAATTAAGAAGCAAACAATGATAAACTTCTCATGGAGCTTCATGCCTTCTGCCTCTTCCCTACATGGGTAGGAATAATCAGTGTTCGAATGCTTTGAACCTTTTCCCTGGGTCAAGGCTGGCCTAAGAGTCCTAGGTGGTCTCATTCAGTATTTGAAACACATCTGGGTGTAGGTCTTCTTAGTAGTAGTTTTAGTTCCATAGTATAGATAAGGAAAGTGTACAGTTACCAAACTAGAAAGTAAATGGCCGAGCTGGGATTCAAATCCACGCCTCACTCCAGAGCCCTTATGGCCACACATGAGTCTTGTTGCTGCAAATGTAGGAGAGCCAAGCGGCTGTGCACCCAACACTGCCGGGTGCTACAAAGAAGTGGAAGACATGGTTCCCTCCCTTGAGCAAATTGCCGTCTATTTAGGCAGACTCAACTTACCCATGTGGAACAATTAGAGAACAAGAGCAGGCAATACAATCAAGTGCCAAATAAGATAGAGCATCTAGGAAGCTATCAAGTAATTATAGTTTTCATCAAAAGAGCTGTATATAATAGCAAGACATGTAAAAATACTTCGAAGTTGTTCTTTTGCTGTTTGAAAAAAAATGCTTTTGAGCTATTGTAAGGCTGTAGCAGAAAGTAAAGCTAATTCAAGTAACTATATATAACACACATGACAACTATCCAGCTCTGGGTAGGGAGGATCGGATAATTCTAACATTATGCCACGCAAATTACATGTTCTTTTGCCAAACTCTTCTAGCAAGTTTTACAGTCTCTTCCCTTGCCACAGATATTTATAAAAATACAAGGAGGTGAAAGTTAAAACCCACGGCATCAAGGAAATTACTTGGATACTGAGCTTGTCGCCTAGGGAATGTTTGGGCTTTAGACTTTTGCAGTTTATATCTTTTTAAAAATAAATGGAGAGGAAAAGAACCCTCATTTGAATTTGTCAAGAAGCCAGCTTCTCTCTTTAGTACACTCTCAGCATACTGAAAACATCCAGCTCAGCTCTGGCCTGATCAAATTTCACGAGGTTTCAAGGAAGCAAAGATTCCTGAGTTTGATTTTCAAAAACAAATTATTTTAGTATCGTGATAGCATCTTCCCAGACACACGTGTTCTCTCCCATGCTCGCCCTCCACCCCCAGCCCCCACCCAGGGAGATTTTTACATTATATATGCTTCACATACCTTTCTATGCAAGAAAAGGGTCATTGAGCTGTGGGCCAAAAACAAAGAGAGAAATTTGAAATATTTCAAAGTAATAAGAGCCACACACAGCTGTTTGATACCCGATATAGTTCTGCCTTGGATAACAGGGCATTCTGCTGCAACTGGTTCAGGAGGGAAGAGCTGGAGGGAAATGGATTGAAAGAAAATGTGGTTCTGTCACTGTTTTTCAGTCTACTGGAGATCAGGGGCCAGTAAGGTTAAGAACGCAGTGCCTACCCAAAAAAGAGGAAGGAAAAACTGAAATACACTTGGCATGTTCCTAACGATAATAGAATTACAGCTAAGATGCCTTTGATAGTAGCCCATGAGAGATAAGGGTATGTTGTAGATGGCATTTTGACATGAGCGGTTCCTTTATCATGCCTTTTCCTCCTTTTACAGATCAGCTATCAGAAAGACCATGTGGACATTCCTCTTCTCTTAGTGCTCCTAATAGTTCTCAGACAAGCCCACAGGGAGCAGTTTCTAGCGCAGCTCCAGGGCCGCAAAAGCAGGCAAAGCCAGTGGTAAGTATAGTCTCCAACCCCCCCGGCCTGTTTCAAAATCCACAGGATTGGATCAGTATCCCAGTTGCACTTCCACAAGTGGTGAGAGAGCCGTTCTATTTGTTTTGGGTATAACCAAATAAATTGGGTACCAGTTCAGGCTGGCCTGATGGAACAAATGAGGCATGTGGGACCCAGAGTCAGACAATCAGAGTGGAAGCCCCAGATCTGTTGCTTGCTCATTTGCATGCTGAGAATGCTATGTAATGTAAGTCACTGTGACTTCTCCTAATGACACTTTGCTGTTATTTTCCCTATTCCTAGACTTCTTAGAACTAAATAGTACTTGGTGCTTAATAGGCAGTGGGTAGTCATTGCTGTTCCATCATAATCGTCATCTTTATTTTTCTCTTTGAATTCCTGTTGAGAAAGACCCAATTTTAAATATTAGCCTATGATGAACTTCTATATTAGGAGCTCTCATTTGTCTTTGCATTTGGTTTTATTGGGAGCTTTTATTTGGGAGGAAATGCCGCATCTTCTGCTCTTTGGGTGAACCTTATTTTTCCAGTCAAAAGCCACACACTTACTATAAGACATCATAACCTATTACTTAAACATTCAAATGGTGGTCTTTAACCTTTCAGAGATTCTAGATTCCTTTGGGAAGTTGATGAGCTCTATGGCACCATACACCTGGACCCTTTTCAATTGTATATAAAAAAAAGCCCATGTGTTGGAGCTCATTTGGGCAAAGACCTTGTAGTTAGCAGATTCTCAAAAGGTCTGTGACCCTCGAAAAAGTTAAACCTAATCCACATGAGGCAGGGTAAGAACTTCAAATTTAGGTAACTATGGAATAATTGATCTTTGCTTATGGCCAAGTCTTAGCCAAATTAAGATATTCTTAGTGACTGGGAGGTGGGGACAGATCCTTATGAAAGAAAGTTAGTACCTAATATGAGGACTAAGTTTAAGTGTTGAGCAGAGGCAGTGTGGAATCATTTATTACTCCATTTTGTCACCTGGCAATGTGAAATAGGTACCTTTAGATCACTGGTGACAAGAAAAGGAAATGAAAGCTATGACCTATTTAAAAGAAAACAACAAGAAAACTCTGACAAATACAAAAGTTCCCATGTACTTTCAAGTGGTTTACTGATTCCTCCTGAAGCTCATTTACAGATTCCTAAGTTAAAAACTCAGGTGGACCGGGGGTTTTATCCTTGGTGTCCCCATTTTATTTGCATAAATCCCTATAATTTCCATCCCTGCCTCATTCAGATGGGTATTTAATCTGGTGTGATTTTTGTTTCTCTAGGAGATGACGGAAAATGGAAGTCATCAGTTGATAGTGAAGGCAAGATTCAACTTCAAGCAGACTAATGAAGACGAACTGTCAGTCTGCAAAGGGGACATCATTTATGTTACTCGCATTGAGGAAGGAGGCTGGTGGGAAGGCACACTCAATGGGAGAACAGGCTGGTTCCCTAGTAATTATGTCCGAGAAATCAAATCCAGTGGTAAGTGAAGCTCTTAAAAGCCTTTTTTGAATGTGACTTTCCTGGTGTTCCTACTGAAAATCTTGTAATTTTAATTGGTTAATAGAAACTGTTTATATTTATATGTATATGTCAAACATAAGATTAGAACACAACTGGGAAATTGTGGTTAGATGTTTTGAAACAAAGTTGTATTTAGATTACATCAAAGCAATAGAAATCTAAAAAAGTGAAGGAATCCAAAGCTCAACAACTGCTCCACCTTAACTATGTCCCTTTCTGTCTAGTAATTCTAGCCATGTAATACAGTACATAATACTCAAAAGATTACCATGGCAGAATACAATAATAAGAGAGGCCAAGTGCTAACTTCCTTTTTTTAGTTCCAAGTTCTTTAAGCAGACCTAAAATTAAGTGCCTGAGATGTGTGAGAGATAATCAGAGGGCTGCAGGAAGCCTTATGAACAAGATTGCTCTTAAGGCATTGCATGTCTCTAGCTGCTTACCCCTTTTCCTCATCATATCCAGAGAATGACTTCTATTTTTTTTTTTTTTTTGGGACCAGTTCTCGCTATGTAGTTCAGCCTGGCCTTGAACTCTCAGCAATCCTCTTGCCTCATCCCCTCAAGTGCTAGGATTATAGGCATGTTCCACTGTGCCTACTCAGAGAATGATTTCTGATTATTCTGCAGGAGTCTTTCTTAGAGTGTTTTTTGCTCACTCACTCTTCATTTTCAAATAAGAAAGAAACCTCTGCTTGTATTATTACAAAACCAAAACGACAGCAGCCCCCACCCCTGCTGCAACAAACTCTAAAACCCTGGTGTCATAAAAGCATGTTCCAGACAGCTCAAACATTATTCAGTAATTATTCTCTCTCTTCACTTCCTAATAATACTTACTCAAGGACTCCTCTATGTTAATAGCTCCTCAGTGCTTCTTTTGTACGTGCCATTGCCTTTGTGAATGCCTGAAAAGTGACACTATTAAGGAATAAAAGTATAGACTCACTGTAAAGAAAATGTTACAGAAATATAGATAAGTTTCTCCCTTTACTCTTTCACCCAGATACCCACCCAATGTTAGAAGCTATTCCCCTAAAACATTTAAGATAGTTTGCATACTTTCTGTCATCTGGGTTGGGTTACAAGGGGCATCTCCTTTAATGGAATGTGTTTATGAGCAGATTTATAATATTTATGTATGTTTAGACTTCTCAGCATTTTTATTTATTACAGTGCTAAGGATTTAACCCAGGGCTTTGTGCATGCTAAGCAAGCACTATACCACTCAGCTACAGCCCCAGCCCTCAATATTTTTAATTACCAGGAACAGAGATACTTCTGTCAAACCCTGAAGTATTTTCTCAGGTCTTGCCTGGAATTTCCTTGGTTTTGATGATTTTCACAGCTGATTTTTACCCCTTGCTGCATATTTCCATGGATACCATCTGGTTGCCAGGTCCTGTAGCCCATGTCCAGACTTCCTGTGATGTTTTTCCCTGACTCGGTGTCTTTCTCTGGTCATTGCCTTGTCCGGGACTGCCAAGCACTGCAGAGGGGAAGAGGGAGGGGGACAGCTCTCCTCACTTTGATGGCCCTCATTCCATTGTACCTCACTGTGATGCCTTGCCGCAGTCTGGCTACTCCTTTGTGGGTGGCCGCACACTGTTTGTTCTGATCTCCAAGGCCTTCCCTTCAAGTTCTTCCTTTTCTTTTTGGTTTAAGACTCAGGTAGGGCTCAAATGGCAAACTCTGCCTCTGAGTAAAGCACTTCAGTAATCTCCAGAAACATGTAACCCAGCCATCAAGGATTTGGGCTAAGGGGGCCGGGAAGCTTGGTATTCAGGGAGTTGGAGTGCAAATATATAGAATGACGTCTCTCATCTAGCTCCTGTTCTTGTCTTCTAATCTAGACTCGGTAGCTGGGGTGATTCTTTTAAAGTGTAACTTGGAACTGCTATGTGGAGCGCACCTGAAATCCAAGCACTCTGGGAAGCTGAGATAGAAGGATCACAAATTGAAGCCCAGTCTGCACAAATTAACAACTTAGGGAGACCTGCCTCAAAATAAAGTATAAAAAAGGTAGCTGGGGGTGTAGCTCAGTGCAGAGGTCCTGAGTTCAATCCCCAGTACCACACCACACACACTCACTCACACACACACATACACTCACATACATACACACACACACACACACACACACACACACACACACATCTTGGATCATGGCTCCTTATCTGAAAAAGGGTGAAGGCCAAGGTTATCACAGTAGCCTCCAAGGCCCTGCAGGATCGGGCCCCCATGGCCTCTGGCCTCCTCTCTGACCTCTATTCCCCTTACTCCTTCCACTCAGCCACACGGGCATCTAGGCTGCCCATGCTAGCCGGCTCCTCCCAGACTGGGGAGAATAAGCTTGAGGGATAGTGAAAAGGATTAGCACAGTGGAAGAAAAACACCTTTTGGGGAAGGTCACATGACCCGTAAATCTTTGTTAACCTGAATTCTTTTCCACCCCAACTCTTGTCATCTCCACAAAATAGTGAGTAAATCCAGACCTGTCTAGGGTGCTACTGTGGTTCATTTTAGATTTATTTTTCATGTTTGGTGTAGAATGTGCTGTCAGTTTTTCTTTCTTTCCATGAACTGAGTACTGATGGGTAAACTTAGAAAAGATTTCAAGGAGATTGAAAAAAATGACTCATAGATAAAATGCTTACTTCATAGAAACAAATCTTTCAGAGTTTTAAATCCCATTGCCATATTACCTCTTGGGCCATCGATGAAGTTGAATTAGCAATGGGACTGAAGAACTGCAGCAGCCTCTGTCCTCTTCCTACTTGGTCAAACGTCATCACTCAGATAGCAATTTTGACAAATTCGTGCATTCAACCCAGGGACACCCTTCAGCCTGATACTTCACATCCTTTTGCACTTTCCTAAAAGTAAAACAAAGCAAGCCCAGGGTGATATAACCTTCACCCTGCAGAGTGCCATGCCTGGGAGGGCTGTGCATTGTTTTCTTCCATTGAATTTGTTACTGACAAGAGCATTTTGTACTCTGGCAAAGTTGCCTTTGGGGAGTAGCATTTTAAGTTTTGGATTCCACTGCAGCTCTTGTCTAGAGATAACTGTGGCCACAGTCCTGGGGACAGCTTCTGCCCACTTTTTGACAGCAGGCTGATTTCAGAGGACATATAGGACAAAGAGCCATCCACTTCATACTATGGGTGGTTAAGAAATAGGATACTTGAGTATAAAATACACACACACACACACACACACACACACACACACACACACACACACATCCTTTCAGCAGAGCCTCAGGCTGATGGTAAAATTGGTCTTTGCGATCATAAGGGTAAGAACCCCTCACTAAGAATGGGATGTGGACAGGGGTGATATCAAGTCACCTTATTAACAGTTTTCCTTGACTAAGTCTTGATTATTTATTTTTTTTTGGGGGGGGTACCGGGAATCGAACTCATGACCTCAGGCTTGCCAGGCAAGCGCTTATTCCACTGAGTTACATCCCTGGCCCTTGATTATTTATTATATGAGGAAAAATAAGCCCTATTTTGAACAAAAATATATTTTTTCCAAGATCTCATGTCATAAAAAATATATGTATTTACAAGTATAAGCCACAGAAGATATATTAAGGGGTCTTGGCTCATTTAGTTTATTTAAGTCAGATACATAATAAGTAAGAAAGTCATTATATAATTTTCAGTTCTTTTTAAAATCATTGGTAACCTATAAACTAGTATGGTGCTTATCCATCAAAGTAATTTCTGCCAATGGATCAGTAACATAGCAAATTATGTATCATTTCTTTTTTGTCTTTGTTACCTAGAAAGGCTAAGGATTTAGTTAAGATTTTGCGTTGACTTTCCTGGCAAAATTTCCATGCCAAGAAACTATTGAGACAAGTGTGATTGGAAAAGATATTTTAAACAAATTCTATTTTCTCCAGAAGATGCTGTAAAGGGGTTACTAAATCCTTTTAAGTTTGTCTTATTAGCAAGCAAATATAGATGTCAATTGAGAGGATTATTAGGTACATGATTAATTAAATTTGTATTAAGATAGATTAAAGAATCACTCTTCCTCCTCATTATAAACCAAAGCTGGAACTGGGCATTATATTTAGACTTCCTGTTTTAATCCCCCAGGGGTATCACATACATGCTTTATATTCAGAGAAACTTTGTTGCTAGATTTCTTTTTGTCCCATCATCATCAGCAGGCAATAGGAATCTGGACATGGGCAAAAAAAGGAAAAGAAACAAAAGTGAATTGGGAAGGGATCTTTACATCAGGATTAGAAGGGTTTCTTCACCTCTGCCTGTGTAACACTATTGTTGTTCGCTACGTTATGTCAAACAAGCTCTTGGGATTTTTCTTTATACTGACTGATTCTTTTCACTGATTGAATTGCATTGATCAATCTTTTCATTTCCTTGGATATACTTCTGAAAATTATGTTTTTGTGTTAATTCTGAGCTTGTCTCCTCTGAACCTCCAGATATTTACTCCTCCTCTGGGTGTTACACAGCATGGGTTTCAGAGACCTTTGTGCACTGAGAGTTGTGGCAGGAGTTGGGGAGGGGAGCAAAGGAGGAACAAAAGGCTGGAAACTGTCATTGAGATGCTCTTCTATTTTGCATCCCCACCTTGATTTTTTTCATGAAGCCAGTTGTTTGCAAGGGCTACATTATCTTGACTCTCCAGGCTTGTCCTCCCAAATCAGTCTGCCTTCTGTTCCTCACGCTGATCCCCCCATTCTAGACTGAGCCTGCAGGGAGGGCAAGATCTTCAGCTCAGTGCTGTGTCAGGGGTGGCGAATGTGTGCGTTGTTCTTCCTGATTGCAGAGGGAAAGCCCGCAGCAGTCAGTCTCTCCCCATTATGTAAAATGCTAGCAGAAGGGCTTTGCAGATGCGCTTTCCTGAGTTCAAGAACTTTCTCTGGCCTAGTGTGTATAAGGTACTGGATTCACTCCTCAGCATACACATGGACACACACATGCATGTGTGCATGCATGCACATGTGCATACTTACATTTTATTTATTATTTTTCTTTTGAGATTTCTTGAATGGCTGTTGAATTTTGTCAAATGTCTTTTCTGCACTGATTAATATTAACATGTGATTTTTCCCTTTAGACTATTAATACCCTAGGTTACATTGATTGATTCTTTTGAATATTTAATCAACCTTGTGTTCTTAGGATGTGTCTCATGTCATACATTTCTTTTAAAATATTGCTGAATTCTCTTTGCCATTTTGTTTTGTTTTAAAGATAGGTTCTTGCTATGTAGTTCAGGCTGGCCTTGAACTCACGATGTAGTCCAGCCTGGCCTCAAATTCTCGATGATCTTCCTGCCTCAGCTTCCTGAGTGCTGAACTTACAGGCATATGCTACCATGCCTGGATGTTTTGCCAATATTTTGTTAATGTTTCCCTGCATCTATATTCATGAGGGGTATTTGTCTGCAGTTTTCTTTTTTGTGCTGTATTCTTATGGTTTTGGTGTCAGTGTACTAGTGATCGCATACAGTGAGTTGGGAAGTGGTCTCTTATTTTCCATAAGAGACTTATAGAATTGATTTTAATTCTTCCTTAAATATTTAATGGGCTTTCCCAGTGAAACTGTATGGACCTAGAGATTTCCTTTTCTAAAGTTCTGAATTTATGAATTCAATCCATGTAATAGTTGCACTACTACTAAATGATCTATTTCATTTTGGGCTAGTTGTTTTTGTTTTCTGAGGAACTAGTTTGTTTCACATCAAATCGACAAATTTATGTGTGTAGTGGTGTTCATAGTATTCTTGTATTTTTCTTTTGATATCTGCAGGGCCTGGTGTAATATCCAATTTCATCCGTAAAATTGGTAATGTGTGTCTTCCATCTTTTTTTCTCTGTGTCTTGCTAGAGGTTTGATAATTTTGTAGATCTTTTCAAAGCAGCAACTCTTTCTGCATCATAGCAGCCATACCAGAATCTCCAAGGCAGCCTCTTCTTTGTTTTCAATTTGTTTCTCCTCCATCCTACTTAACATACTGAACATTTTATTTCAATTGCAATTAGCCATTCCTGTGGCCTTTCCTTTCCTCTTTAGTGTCTTGGCAGTCATACCATTACTGTTTACCTTTCCTTTTGACTTTGATTCTGAAATGTGACCACCCCTTGCTGTTATCTCTAGAAAGTCTCATTTTTATCAGGGATGGTTTAAATAATAACTGTACAAAACAACTAAATTCTAATTAAGACCATTATATTATAGCTGCATTTAGGAAACTTGCCTAATAAAATACAAAGAATTTGATAATTGCCAATTTTGAACAAGACAGAGCCCAACACCATGGTGTATCGGGAAAACATCAGGTTCAACAATGGGACACACTGGTTCAGGTCCTGGCTCTGCCACTTACAGTGTGAAGCAATAGGCAGGTGACTGTGTTGTTCAGGTTTACCCCAGGGACACCTGGTGAAGCCACTAACAGATTGAGATGGATCCTGAAGCAGCCTAAGTTTTTCAGAAACTGGCCATATCTACTGTTACCCTTGGGGAGTGACAGAGTTGGCATTCTTTGCTGCTTTTTGGCCTTAGTACCACTCTGCCCAGCCTGGCCCAGCTGGAAGATTTACTGTCACAGTTCGGACATGCCTTGAGCATTGCTATTTCTGAAGCGGTGTTTCTGCAGTCCCTCCCACCTCAAAATCTCTTTGCTTTCTTCTCACCTGTCTATGTTCTAGCCACTTTTCAGTGCCAGGTGAAGTACCTCATGCCCAAAAAGGTCTTCTCTGGCCACCCCAGGTCAAACTAATGGCTGCTCTGAACCCCAGGCACAACCTCTGCTCCTGCCATCAACCAATCTTTTCAGTAGTTTGTCTCTGGGAATCATATTGATCAGGAGTACAAGCTGTTGTCAAGACATACCTGGGCTTTAATTCTGGCTTTGCTGTTACCTAGCTGTGTCACCTTAGGTAAGTGGCTTTACCTTCCTGAGCTTTAGTGGCCTCCTGTGTAAAATAAGGAGATGAGCACTGCTTGTTAGGGTAGATATGAAGATCAGATAACATATGTTAAAGCTATCTAGCACCAAATAAATGCCAGAGATATTTTAATACAACAATGGTTAAAATCAAGAATAAATGGGAAAATATTCATAAGATAATATTGTAATAGGAGAATTACAAGATTAAAGGTAAAGTGAAAAAGATCCATGTGTGCACATGTGCATTTGCACATGTGTGTGTTCACAAATGCATACATAAAAGGAATGGGAGGGCACACTTTAAGATGTTACTCTGGATGATCATTGGTTCTGGGTGATGGGCTCATCATTGCTTTTTATTTTCTTCTAGATATTTTGAATTTTTAGGCTAAGACTAAAAATTTAGGGTAAATAGATTTATAACTTAAAAATGCCATTTGTAAAAGAAGAATTAAGATCTGATGATATTGGCCATTTATACTCCATGAAACTTCAGAAAGGGTTTAAAGCAGCACACAACACAGCAAGATAAGATTGAAATATAAAACAAAAAAGTATAGGAGAAAATATAGGCAGGAAAGATGCTATGCAGTGACACTCTTAAGCATTTATGACTAGTTTGTGTTTTTTAAAAGAATGTCCTCTGCCATGAGTTTCATAGGAGAGACTAACTTTGTAAAAGGAAGGTAGCATTTTACATTATGATGATATTAGAATTACATAAAAGAGAAAAAATTTTTCTAATTCTTTTTACTGAGCTAGGCATTTTGAGTATTTATTGTTGGCATAGCTGAAGATGGTCCCAAGAAAGGTAGATGCTGAGGTCAGATGAAAGACTATGGTGGATATTTACATTTTAAAAATGTCTTTAATTGTGCTGTTGTGGCTGCCTCAATGTCCTCAATCAATTTAAAACATTTAGTCTTTATGGTCCCTCTGACTGTGGGGAAGAGCCAGAAGTCACATGGTGCCAAATCTGGTGAATAAGGTGGGTGAGGACACGCTGTCACGTTTTTTATGAGCCTGCCTTTTTGTGACATGGTGCTCAGCAACTGTTATTGACCAAATTTTTGATTGTACCTTGTAAAAATAGAACTTCCAGAACTGCCTCAGAAATTGGCAAGAATGATAGAATAAGTGTGTTCAAAGGAAGGGGCAGTATTTTGCAGGTGGTTAATGGAAATGTGTCTTTTATTATAATAATTTTTTAAAGAAAATGTAAGCAAGTATCATAGTTTCTTAACCCTTGAAGTTGCTCTTAGTTATATTATGTTTGTGTAGTATTTGCAAGTTACAGATATACATTTGCTTAGCATTCATTTTGCTTATCTATTTTGAATAAGTTGAATGGACAGGCAGACTAAAGAAACCCAAACCAGGACTGAAGTCCTTGCCCTGGCCCTGCCGGTGGTTAGCTATGTCTTTCTCCTTATTTCTCCCTAAGAAATTGAGGGGCCTGGAGAAGAAGAGCTAACTTTGGCCATTTCTAGTTTAGTAACATTGTATTTTTATTTGTTTAGGAATATATAATTCCCTTGGTCCTTCTACTTGGAATCATTATTAGTATGTTAATTGACCTGTGTTATAAAACTTTCATCAAGCAGTTATATGTTATTAACATAACTTGGATGTGTTTTTTACAGAGAGACCCCTCTCCCCCAAGGCTGTCAAAGGATTTGAAACTGCTCCACTTACCAAGAATTATTATACTGTGGTGAGTGTTCAGATCATGAACAAAACTTTTCTTGACTTTATGTGGAAACTTTTCACTTGTCAAACTACTGACACGTTGAGGTCACACAAAGGAAAGACTGGATAAAGTTGCACTGCTAGGTTCCAATGCCATTTGAGTTATAATGGAACGCTTTTCCCTGGAAGATTTTTACTGGTGCCTGTACATTTTCCATACACTGAAGTGAAAAATTCAAGGGTAGCGCAAAGATTCAGAACAAGGCCTATTAAACAGCAGTGAAAGAAAAATTGGTTAATATATAAACAATCTGATGAAATTCAGCTGTTAAATGTAGTTTTACCAGTATTTAGAAGAAGAATCCCCAAGTTCCTCTAATGCAATAAGTTTTAAGTGATTGTATTCTGTGATTTTACTTTAGAATAATTAATCCATTATATTCTCTGGAATATTTTCAACGTTATTCTTGAGGTGAACCCAAAAAGGAAGACGGCCCTTTGGCACAGAAGGAAGAATGAAATGGCCCTGGCTTGAACACAGATATGTCAAATTATATTAGCTATAAATAGAGCATGGGCAACACTCAAAATAATTTCCTGCTTGAAAGAGAAATCGCATCATTCTCCTTAATCTACTCTCTGCCTTCCTTCATGTCTCCTTTCCAGACTTGGCCCAGTCACTAATGAAAAGGTCACGTCATCATTACCTCTAAGCTGTCCTGTCTGGTAGCCTTGTGAGCTTGCCCCAGCTTTGCTGAAATACAGCTTGTTTTTCCCTAATGTTCTATGTGCGTTTGTACCGCGTGATCATTTCATTTTGTGCACGGCTAAGGAGTTTTTAATCAGTTCCATACAGCTATGTGAATGTCATTTGGCTTCCAAAAATTGAATTTCACTCTTCAGTGAATTTGTTCTATAATGTGACATAAGCAGTAGGTGATATGAAACATCAAGAAGGAACTTCATAGGTAACATGGACAATACTCAGAAGAGAACTATTTTGTTAATATTTTTCCTTTTGAATTCCTGAGGTTAAAATATATGACCCAGCAGAGTTAGGGCTCCTCCTCCCTCGTCTCCTTTCCTTTCTGTCCACTTTTAACTTCCCTGTGACATCTAATGATTTAGTGTTGAAAGAAATGGCATAGTTGAGTGACTGATTAAAATGCTACCATGATTTCTTCTTCCTGTGGATTAGGAACCTACTGTTTGCTCTGCTTTGGATATCACTCTCGGTCTGCTAATCTACCGATTAAAAATATGGTTGGGAGCTGTGTGTGTGTGTGTCTCAGTGGAAATAAACTTGCCTAGTATGTATGAAGTCCCGAGTTTGATCCCTATCATCTCACACACACACACACACACACACACACACACACAGAATGTTGTCGGGGTTATCGAAGGCACAGTAACGTTTATGATTCTTGTAGGCTTTGTATAAATCCCCCATATATTATATGTAAACTGTGGATATACTGCTGTCTGTATAACCCATCTTCCATTGGAAAACACGTGTGTTGTTTCTGTTTCCTTGCTATTTTAAACAATTCTGCAGTGAACACCAGTTAGAGATATTTTAACTAGATATAGATGGGAAGAGATCTTGGTTGGTTGGTTGAGTGTTGTTTTTCTTAATCCCTATTTCTTGAGCTTTGAGTAGTTAGACAAAATTTTAGTGTCAATCCAGAATTTGTTCAGAGTGTTCTTTTTCCCCCGTTTTGTGAGACAGGATCTCGCTATATAGTTCAAGCTGGCTTTAAATTCACTATGTAGTCCAGCTTGGCTTCAAACTTGTGGCAATATTCCTGCCTCAGCCTCCCAAGTACTGGAATTACAGGCATGTGCCACCACACCCACCTATGTTAAGAGTGTTCTGACTGTCCTCCTAATCTGTGTTGAATGCTTGAAGCAAGTAAAAAAATACTGTCCTACCCATAGGATGTGGAGAACTGGAAAATCAAATTCACTCACATGAAAAGAGTCTCCATCAGATTTTATACTAACTCTTCTCTGTAAGGATCATTAATTATATACATTTTCTGTTGCTAGATCTATATGAATACTAGTGACTGATTTTTTACTCAGTTTTAAAAAGAAATGTAAACATTTTCTGACTATATAATCATATAAATATTATTAAAATAAGACAAAAGAGAAAAGTATAGAGAAGAAAATATCACCTTTAATCTCACCACTTAGAAATTATCACTATTAACATGTGGGTGAACTTATGTGAAACTTTCTTTGAGAAAGTATATCTATGGACATATACATGCATGTATATATGATGGAACCCAACGTCTTAAACAAGCACTCTATCACTGAGGCCTAATTTTTAAATTTTTAAAAATAAAAATAGGAGCTATGTGTTCTTAATTATTTATCCTTCATGGAGATTTTTCTATTTCTATAGTCCAACCATACTTGTCTCTGACCAGTCCTATTCTTACGCTCTTTCATTTGGTGAATCCTTGCTAGTCCAACACTCCATTTTGGTCCTATGTATTAGTCTAGTTTCTAGATGTTAGAGAAGAGAGAGAGAGAGAGAGAGAGAGAGAGAGAGAGAGAGAGAGGGAGTTATGAAAAGAGAAGAAAAGAGAGACAGAGACAGAGACAGAGACAGAGACAGAGACAGACTGACTCTGGAGGCTGAGACATCTGCATCCTGAGGTCTGAAAGCTGGAGACCTCAGAAAGTCAGTTGTACAATTTTGTCTGAGTCCACCTTGTTTATAGGGCTTCAATGTATTTTTTTAGTACAATATACCTTGTTACACATTACTGTGTTTTTCTAATTGTACTGTACAGTACAGTACTATGAGTTTATGTTCAGTTATATATTACAGTATTGATGTAAAGGTTATGAAAAGCAAAGTAAAGCCATCAAGTTGGAGTTTCCATTGGTCATCTCTTTGTTCTGAATATGGTAATGTGCATACTGTATACGATTTCTCCTTTAGCAACCAGTACACTGAACATCCTAATCACAGGACTGGAAGTCGGTTGTTAAATGGGGAAGGTCTGTACTTAGATCCTGGCACCCATTGTCTCACCAGGAAGGCAGCACAGACATGAGCGCATCAGCCACATGGCCGAGAAAGTGAAAGTACAAAGTGTTATAAGGTGGGCGACTCGCAGAGTGCCTGGGGATCTTTCGAATTAGAAGCACCTGGGGAGCTGGTTAGAATTCCCAACATCTGGTACCCACAGCTACTTGCTGATTAGACTTTCCTGCTATAGATCCCAGGAAACAGCATTTTTTAAAAAAACCTTCCCTGCCCCTTCCTCGACCGCGTTCCCTCAACACACAGGTGCATGCGGTGCTCACTTAAACTGAAACCTGGGAACAAATAAGGGAATGTTGAATGGAGGAGGTAGAATGCAAGGCATGTTTTAGAAAAACGTCAGAACTCAGGCAAGCAGAGAAGAGCTGAAAGGGAATTATATGAGCAAATTTCTCCACACAACCATGGGCATGCCTTTAATTATGAGGTGGGATCAAAATATATAGTAAATGCTTAAATTTAAAATGCACAATAAAAGATACAGTGCCATTAATCTTCCTCAAAATACTCCCCCTTGCTTTGAATTCACTTATCCCATTGCTTTCGTCATTTTCTGAAACAGTGCTGGAAGTCCTTTTTCTTGAGTGTCTTTATGAGATATGATAAAAGAATACCAAGAATGCCACTGCTGAGTGCCATCCAACAGAAAGGCAGGCTCATAAAATTATTACACTGTGTCCTCATCTACCTTATTTACTGGATCTGGCACCATGAGACATTTCCAAGCTAAAATGACCATGAAAGTTAAATGTTTTGAATTGATTCAGAACATTAAGGCATCCAGGAGAGCACAACTGAAGACACTCATGAAAGAGGACTTCCAGAACTGCTTCCAAAAGTAGTAAGATTGATGGGATAAGTGTGTTCCAAGTGAGGGAGGTATTTTGAGGGGGATTGATAACTGCATCTTTTATTGTAATGATTTTTAAAATTTAAGCATTCCTTATATTCTTCTATCATACTTCATAGTCCTGTAGGTCATAAAATGGACTGTATTCTCTTTTGCTCCCATGAAAATGTGCCTTAGGAGATGGAATTCTTTGTTATCTGAAGCTATTATAGCAAACTATAAGAAAGCTGTCCTTTGTGCTGTCACAAATAGGCCCACCTCACACTAATCCTAATATCCAGCTTTGGGGATGAGCATCTGTCTGTAGAGTAGGACATGCTATTTCCCTATAGCTAAGTAAGAAGCTATATCACTAGTATCCAATATTATTTGGTGTGTTCTACCTTCTCCTGTATGTGACTTACAGTAGATGCCTAACGGGCATGTCTTACAGAATCCATATGCAGTAGAAAAGATGGGAGGAAAGTTTTAGCACGTTAAATCAGAAATCCCAGAAAGCCTTCTATAACCCTAGCTGTAGCCTTCTACCCCTTATCCTCATCGTCTCTCCTTCATCCCTCTGCCCACTTGCTCCCACCCTGAATTTCCCCTACCTTTCTAGTACTAACCCACACTTTTTAGCCCACCTGTGTAAATGGCCTTACACAACTCTCCATTGATTCTCTTCACCGTGTCTCCTATACTTTTTTTTAACCAAACCTCTTCCTGTCTCACCCCTCCATATTTCTTCCATAAGAGATGGAAGGAAGTACTTTCCATCAGTGTCGAGGTAGAAGAAATGAGAGGATTTTGTGGGGTTAGTGAGTCTATGTGTTGATATAGGGGGATAATGCTACTTGTTTTGTGACAACTGGGGGCCTTTGTGTGTGAAATAAATTGCTACCTTTGAAGGTAGACAGGTGGATTTCCTGGCATATGTATCAAATATGACAAACTGTAATAATATACTGCCTTTTTCCAGTTTCAAAGGACTTCACCAACATTAAATCATTTTTATAGGCATAATAATTATCTCAGAATTCCTACAATATAGTTTTACTTTGATTTAAGGTTTCCTGAGGCCATTATAGTCTTTTATCATTGGACATATTGTAAAACACGTCTATTTTCA